ACAGCATATTGCTATACTATTTCAACTCAGTATTTACATTCTTATATTCAAAGAAAATCAGTAATATCTTTGAAAACTTCAAGTCCTCTTCTATCAGCTGTGCACCGTTATGGTCTAAATATAATATATCTACCAATTGGATAAAATATAAAAGTCAGCCGAATTACTATTGATACTGCAAGGAGACATATTTTTGCCTGCCGTGTCTCGCCTTAACCGAGGCTACGTAGTTATGCAGCGCCCCCATCCTCAGTAAATGGAAGTACAATTATTAAGTACGTTTAGTGCTATTATTTCACAAGTTTTGTTAAATACACTGCTCGGAAAAAATTACCGAGGTCCGGACCTCGGTGACCTCAATGGTGGATAAGGCCATGGGTATCGTTAAGGTTTTAACGGTACTACTACTTTTAGCGATACCGCTTATCGGTCCGGTCTTTTAACGGTACTCTTTTCGGTTCTGTTGGAGAAAAAAACAAGGTAAACTAACTAAACAAATTGTGAACAAAACTAACATTGCTTTTTATTTAAATTAAATACATAATATTTCACATCAAAAGAAACAACGTTTTAACAAATCGTATTAGATAATCTGATGACAGAACTGTAAACAGAATAGCTGAAACTTTAACAAAATAAATAACTAAGTTACCTCTAATCATTAACCCATGTTTGTATAATTGAGTTAACTCTGTGTGTTGCTGCTAGCATACATAACACCTGACGTGGAAAGTTACTTGTGGACGGGGCTACAGAGCTACTTAGACAGTCGAAAACTGTGCATTTCTCCGTCACTTTTGGTAACGATCATTGTTACCAAATGCTCGTTACCATCGAGACGGGTAAAGTTTAACCACACCTCGGAGCACGTTCTCTCTGCCATCTCCTCCGTGTGTGTGTGTTGCTGCATGTAGCAGCTGCGTGCTTGTAAACTGCCCCGCCCCCTCGCGAGCAGGCGGGGGAGAGAGAGATCTCTCGTCTGGACTGGAAAGATCGAAAATACTAAAAATAATCATAGATGCATTTTGCAGTCTTTTTGCGTATTAGAAACGGAGTTGGCGACACTAAAACTTCAATAATTTTTGTGTAGCAATAATACACAATACATATATTTTTGACATGTCTCCAGTACCGATAAAAAGACCGATAACGTCGGAGCTTAGCGGTACCACGGTCTTTAATAATTCAGCCCTGGGGCCCCTTTAATACCGGGGCTCGGTACCCATCCCTAATTTTAACACATTAATAACATTTTGACTATTGGTGCAGCCCTAATGAATGTTTAATGTATGAATCTGTATGTTGTGTTGACCTTCCTTTTTTGGTTTTCCTCCTCAGATCATGGAGAACAATGAGATCAACAGCGTCATTAAGATCCTCGGCCTTCAGTACAAGAAGAACTACAGCGACCCAGAATCCCTTAAGACTCTGCGCTATGGCAAGATCATGATCATGACAGATCAGGTTTGTATTTATTTTTTTAATCATGTTGCTTTTCACCGTTTCAATTTAGATACAGTGCCAAGCTCAAATGGTATGTATCTTCAGCTCTACTGGTCACATTAACGACTCTGATGCTTTGGCAGGATCAAGATGGCTCCCACATAAAGGGCCTTTTGATCAACTTCATCCACCACAACTGGCCGTCTCTGCTGCGCCACAACTTCCTGGAAGAGTTCATCACCCCCATCATCAAGGTACATAGTCTCACTCTAAAACACACGATATTTAGGCGGAGTTATTTTATTTATTATGGAAAACTAGCTCGAACATTTCGGGACCAAGCATACAATATCAAAGCAAATGTCATTTCTAGGCTCTGAGAGGTCTCTACTTTTTCTCTTGTCTCCCTGAATTTAAAACAACACTGCCATCTGGTGTCAAAGCCACAGAATCTGTCATGTTCAATCCTTCTTTTATTATTTCTTTGTCAAAGACATTTGACCATTTTAACAACAAGAAGAAGAAGAATAAGAGATATGTTTGTGGATTTATTTTATTTCCCCCTTTTCAGGTGTCGCACAAGAAGGAGCACATCTCTTTCTACAGTATCCCTGAATACAATGCATGGAAGGACACGCAGACCAACATCAAATCTTGGAGAACAAAATACTACAAAGGTTTGTTATAAAGCACCTGGTTGGTAGTTCAGAAACCCAAGTAAGCGACCCTTCATACCTGGGGAATGTCTCGGATACAGCCTTGTGTTTTTTCATAATCTAACCTTTTTTTGGCCTTTGTCCCTCCAGGTTTGGGTACCAGCACATCGCAGGAAGCCAAGGAGTACTTCTCGGATATGCAGAAACATCGCATCCCGTTCAAGTACGGCGGACCTGCAGACGATGAAGCTATCACCCTTGTAAGATGCCACCCGGCAAATATAAACATATCCACAGTAGAATAGACGTATATCAACGATAATACACAATAGAAAATATTCTGGATAAATTAACATGTTCTATAAAAGACTAACATACTGCAGCAGCAGAAATATAGACCTATACTACAAGCGATAAAAACTCGGATCTTCTCTCTAATTATTTCTTTTTTGGACGCCCTCGGCTCGGGTTCAGGGCGTTCCGAGCTGAATAAGGGCGTCAAATGACGGCAAGCCGCCCCCCCTGGCGGAAACGCTGGTGTAGAGCATTTGACTTATTTATCAGTTGGAGTGGTAATAACCGTTCTTTTCCCTTTTTTCTTTTCCAGGCCTTTAGCAAGAAGAAAATTGAGGAGAGGAAAGTGTGGCTGACCAACTTCATGTTGGACCGGCGCCAGCGCAGAGCTCACGACCTGCCTGAGGTACCGTCCCAAAATGCAGTGAACTTGATTGGAAATGATCCCATTTTTCTATCAAATTTCTACAACCTTTTTATTGTTTTTTTCCACAGGACTTCCTGTACGGTCAGAACACCAAGTCCCTCTCTTACAATGACTTTGTCAACAAGGAGCTGGTGCTGTTCTCCAACTCTGACAATGAGAGGTCCCTCCCGTGCTTGGTGGACGGTGCGTGAACCGCCATCACCGAGAACATTTTGTAAATCTTAAGACAAGCTGTGAGAGGGGTTTAATAAGTGTGTTTCCATTTGGGTGTCAGGTCTGAAACCCGGCCAGAGGAAGGTGCTGTTCTGCTGCTTCAAGAGGAACGACAAGCGTGAGGTGAAGGTGGCGCAGCTGGCCGGATCGGTGGCTGAGATGTCAGCCTATCACCATGGAGAGGTGAGATTAAACTACACTTGATACGTTTATTTCCCACATATGCCTACAACAATCATTATTTCTTCTCACTTTCCATGAAGCTTTCTCTATTTGTCCTTCCAGTTTCTGGATTAGCCTGTTCATTTCATGTCAATCTACTGCTTATTATTATGTTATTAAAACAATATTTTCCCCCTTTTTTAAAAGACATAATCTTTAAATGAATTGTTCTATTGAGCTTTGCATGTCTAGTGCCTTCAAATTTCTCATCGACGATATGATGACACTTTATTGTAATATTATATTTGTTTTGCATTGCAGCAGCTCCATTTGCAACATCAGCAAGGACACATTTTAAAACAAGTTACAAGTAAAGAAACATTTAACACAACATTTCAATCACTGAAAACAATATGTATACGACCCATTAAAGTACATTTGATCTGGGAATGAACTCTGTTTTTAACTTTATTGACTGATGCACAAAAGCGTGCTTCAGTCTAACTTAAGGCAAGACTTAACCAGATTTATGGTTTCTGTTTGAATACATGTTATTCATTTGCAGTGAAATAAATGCAAAGGCACCTCCTGATAGCAAATTAATATTGTACCAACTTGTGGAGCTATGTTAAGCATTTTGCATAATATTGTTGATTTACTTTCCATTTTTCAGGTCTCTCTGATGATGACCATTGTTGGGTTGGCTCAGAACTTTGTGGGAAGCAACAACTTGAACATGCTGCAGCCGATGGGTCAGTTTGGAACCAGGTTGCACGGAGGCAAGGACTCTGCCAGCCCTCGATACATCTTCACCATGCTCAGGTCAGCATCCTCGCTACAAACTACAAAATGTCTGAAGCTACACATTTGAGAATATGGAGTTAACTCAAAGGTTTATCCAGTCCGTGTCTTTTTTCAGTTTGCCTACATCTTTGAATTTCTGAGATGTAAGCAAACTCAGTTTCTCAGATGTTTTGTACCGTTTTTGCTAGGGATGCACGATATTGGTTTTTTGAAACCGATACCGATAACTTCCTGCTTCTCAAGACCGATAACCGATAATAATATAATATATATATATTAAATGTACCTGTTGCCTTTTTGCCTCCTCGTGGAACTTCTGCATTGCTTTTTTTAATACCAATAGCAAGCGAACTATCTTACTTTGAAATAGTCCCATACTACCGACGACATGTTTGTTTACTGTCCTGGCTTCACGGCCGCACACCATTTACGTCACAGCCAGGCCTGAGTTAGGGAGCGCTGGATTTGTGAAAAACCCCACTCTTCCTAAACCACTAATACCACAGTACTGGCAAAACGGGAGGAGTGAAAAACAAGCGCCCCTCATCCCAATCCACCCACACCGCAGTATTTTTTTCTTTTTTTTTACCCAAAAAATATATTGTATATTATCGGGGCTATTAATACTTTTATCAGGATGACGTCATAATTCCTAATATCGGACCGATAATTATTGGGCCGATAATTATCGTGCACCACTAGTTTTTGCTATTGTTTTTGGCAACTTTTGTTTAAAGATTCTTTCCGTTTGTTACAAAAAGAGTCAGCTTGTAACAAATTCAATATACCGAAAAAGAAAACTCAAAGATTCTCCCCCCCCCCTCTCGGTCCTTTCAGCCCTCTGGCTCGCCTCATCTTCCCAAATATGGACGACAACCTTCTCAAGTACAACATTGACGACAACCAGCGCGTAGAGCCGGATTGGTATATTCCCATCATCCCCATGGTGCTGGTGAACGGCGCCGAGGGCATCGGCACCGGTTGGGCCAGCAAGATCCCCAACTTCGACGTCCGAGAGATCGTCAACAACATCCGCCGTATGATTGCTGGAGAAGAGCCTCAGCCCATGGTGAGGAAACACAAATGACTTCCTGAACATTACTGTCTTATATGATCAAATCCGAGGACACCAGATGTCATTTATCATCATATAACGTTTCTGATTCTGATGATGAGGGTGCTTCTTTTCTCCCATAGCTTCCAAACTACAAAGGCTTCAAAGGCACAATCGACAACGTGGTGGACAACTCGTACTTCGTGAGTGGAGAGGTGGCCATCATCGACTCCACCACCATCGAGATCTCTGAACTTCCTATCAAAACATGGACTCAGGTTAGTCCAAAAAGCTTTGTCCTTTCTGTCAGGAGTGTGTTCAGGATGTTCAATCATGTGCATTGATGCTGTTCACAGTGGTGGAAGGAAATACAGTTCATTTGTTCAAGGGCAAATGATATCGCTCCAATTCAAAGTGACATGTTGTACTTTTTTCCTGCTTTCATTTTACAGATTAAGATTAGTTACTTTTTCTAATTGTAATTTCCGGATAAAAACATCAACGTTTAAAATGTTAAAATGATGTTTTGTTCTATATGAGATTAACCGACAATTAATTGGCCTTTTTTTATAAACCTTTAAGAACTTTTCTAATTATTTGAGTAACTTACATGTTTTTTTAGGATGTTTATTTAAAACATTTTAGAATTTTATAAAAGTGTTCTGCATTGGTATTACATTTAACAACATTTAGCTTATGGTAACATTTTCAATTCAGGACTTTTACTGAAGTAAAGTATGTGAATACCTTTATCACCACTTGCTAGGGCTTTTGCAATTAATCGTATTTTAATCTCGATTACCATTTTGGCGGGCAACGATTACGAAAACAATGTAATCGAAATAAAACGATTTTTTTTTTTATTATTTTTTCAGTTGAATTATACTTAAAGTTCAAAAACTGATGTTTTCAAAGTAAATGGATAATCGTTTTTAATAATCGTGATAATCGTGACCACTTACGTTTTGCAACAGAAACTCAAATGAAACGCTTTGAGACCACTTTGTGATTTCTCTGCCTCCTGTGTTGTGTAGAGCTACAAGGAGAACGTTCTGGAGCCCATGATGAACGGCACAGAGAAAGTCCCTCCTCTGATCACTGACTACAAGGAGTACCACACCGACACCACCGTGCGCTTTCTGGTCAAGATGACCCCCGAGAAGCTGATCGAAGCCGAGGCTGCCGGCCTCCACAAAGTGTTCAAGCTCCAGACCAGCCTCACCTGCAATTCTATGGTAAGATTTACACACGCAAGCAAGGATGTATATACTCTTTCTTCTACTTGCCCGGACCCCCACTGACACTTGCCTTCAGCCGCTCTATAGACTAAGGCTGTGCAATTAATCATATATTAATCTCGATTACGATTTTGGCTTGCAACGATTATAAAAACGACGTAATCGAAATAAAAAGATTATTTTGCTACATTTGCAATGATGCTCTCAATTTGTCTTGCGTTATACATCCTGCCCGTCAACTTTCACTAACCTTGTCAAGCCGGAGCCTCAGGTTACCAAAATAAGAGTACTGCGTGTAGCATTATATTTAAACATTACAGGTTGTGAGTGACATTAGTTATCATATTTAGATATGTTTAGTAGGTTGTGGAAGTGCGCTCAAATATTTGATGATCCTCTTTATTGGTATTTATTATTTTGATATTATTTATTTAAATGTATAATTAAATTTTTGTATTGGTTTTTCAGTTGAATTATGCTTAAAGTGGACCTATTGTGCTATATTTGAATAATATAGTGTAGGGCCATACCTATATAAGGCATATTTATATGTTTTATTTTTCAAAATACCAAACNTGTGTAGTGTGATTCTGTGGAGTTTATTTATGGCATCCCGTTGGATTTGAGGTCATCTGAACAGGACATCGCACGCTCACTGCTCGATAG